ACACACACACACACACACACACACACACACACACACACACACACTGACTTCTTCCTGTATATTTGTATTGGTTAAAAAAAATTCTTTATGTTTTTTCTTTTAAGCTATCACTGAGCTTCAGAAACTGAGTAAAGAAACACTAACTGAGAAGGAAACTGAGAAGGGAGCTGGGAAGGGAAAAAAAACAACGGTCACCATAACATCCATCAGTCTGACACTGCCATCTCCAGAGCTCGATACACAACTACTTACTGAAGATGATTCTTCAGTAAGTCTACCAGAGCCACAAACTGTATGTAAAATGTAGTAAATCAGTAAAAAACTAATATTAATGCATGCTATTGAATTTAATAATGTATTGTATTTTAACAGGAGCAAGATCAACAGGGGGAGCAGAGTGAAACAGGTTCTACAGCTGGAGACCAGATGGGTGCTTCTTTCATGCCAAAGACAAAAAATGTATGTACTGGGTCATAAATTAAAAGTTTATCAAAATATTAATGAGATATACTGTATAGTGTATGTATATAAGTGCATTATACAGTATACAGTATGTATACTGTATGTATATAAACGATATACTGTATGTTTTTTCAACAGGAGCACATTCAGCCAGGGAAGGAGAGTAACACAGGTTCTACAACTGAAGAAGATAGTGGTACTTCCCCAATGTGCTTACAAACTGTATGTACTGTGTCATTAATTACAAACATAAAAATGAAAAAGAAGATCTTCAACAAACAAACATAATGATCTTTTTTTTTAAAAGATTATTTTACCTTTTTTTTAATCTTCAGGAGCAAGTTCAGGTGGGGAAACAGAGTAGCAGAGATCCTGCAGGTGAAGAAATGTACACTTGTTCTGTCCCAGTGGGTCATTTCTGGTATGTGAACCACATGTACGAAGAGGAAATGAAACTTATAGAGAAAGAGAATGGAGTAAAAATCAGGGCAGATGTGAAGGTGAGATTTGAAGAAGACCAAAAACATGGGAGCCCAGACAATGCTCGAGAGGAGTTTGCAAACCTTGTCCAGAAAAGCTTAGTTGAATCCAGTGGCTCAGTTATTCCTCTCAAGTTCATAGAGTCAGATCAGTGGGGCGATGCACTGAAAACAATCCAGGAAAAAGAAAACAAGCTTTTGGTTACTCTGACCTCTGAAACAATGACTGTGCGTGGGCCAGGACAAAGTCAAGAGGCCATCAAAAAGTTCTTAAATGCAGATACACATCGGAAAAGAAACACAGATGCTTCTCATCAAGAGTATGAAAGAGAGACTCAAGAATCACTGAAGATTGACATGACCATCAAAGATGATTTCCCGCATGCAGGACTGATCATTGAGAAGACATTTTGGAAGTTGATGACTAACTCTTATAACAAGCAAATAGAAAAGATCAAAGCTAAGTTTAACGTAGCTTTCAAAGATTCAGACATTGATCAAGGCAAAGTTAATGTCACAGCTTTCTACAAGAAAGAAGGAAATGCCTCAATGGAGAGCCACGCCCTCAGAGCACTTCTCTGTCTACACCAGAGGTTTGTTTCATCCCAATTCCATGGTGCCACTGGGTTCAGTGGCACAATCATTTCTCAATCAGAGGGGGCCTCCAATGAGCCTGTGTTGAATGGCCAATCAGCAAACAGGAAGCACAACATTGACCCACCAACTGACAGTGGGAAAAGAGCAGGTGACCAAAGTGATGAAAGGTGTCCTATATGTTTGGATAAATTCAAAAACAAGAGACAGCTCAACTGTAAACATGAATTTTGTAAAGACTGTCTGAAACAAGCAGAGAAGGCGAATGGGCCCATCTGTCCTATATGCAGAGTCGTCTTTGGTAAGATAGTCGGAGACCAACCAGATGGAACAATGTCACACCAGATACTCACATTTCCCCTCCCTGGATACTCAGACTGTGGCACCATAATGATCAGCTATGAGATTCAAAGTGGAACACAGACGGTAAATGACCATTTTATTTGAATGCTTATATCCCTGTTTAAAAAAACAAAACATGATTGTGTTTTCATTTGAAGTTTTATAAAAAGAAAAAAAAATGATAAAAATTATTTACTTTCCATTCTGCTTTTAAGGCAAAGCATCCCAATCCTGGACAGCACTATTATGGTATTCGTAGAACAGCATATCTTCCAAACAACAAAGAGGGCAATGAAGTGCTGCGACTGCTGAAAAAAGCGTTTGACCAGAGGCTCATTTTTACTATTGGGACATCCAGAACAACTGGAATGGACGGCCAGGTGACCTGGAATGACATTCACCACAAAACATCCATGTCAGGAGGAGCAGAAAGGTAGAGTAGCCAGGTGTCTTACTTGTGTTGCGGTAAATGTTTTCTTTTACTGTTTTCTCTAATAAAATACTACATGTTAACCTTGGATATGTTCTGTTTCCACAGCTTTGGGTATCCTGACCCTGAGTACCTGAGCAGAGTCAAAGAAGAGTTAAAGGCCAAAGGCATTGAGTGACGTTCTTAATACAAAGTGCAGCTGGATTAAAAATGTTTAAAGATGACTCTTTAAACAGACACTGAAATTCAAATACTCTGTTTTGCTCTTTTCTCTGTTAATGTTTTATCTGATCAGTAAAGTTTAGAATTGACTTCTTTCATTAGCTATATATATAATCTTCAAATACTAAGTGATGATTTTTTTTTCTGTTGATTGTCAAAGTTTTCATCATGTAACAATATAAAATGTAGATTTGCATAAACACAGGTTTATATAATCTCAGGTCTACAGTGCTGATGGTCTGACTTTCTGTTTGCCTAATAAATGATTAAATCCTCCACACTGAATTCCTCCTTTTATCAGGACCAATTGTGAACAAAACACAGAACACTGTGGCTTGTTTTCTGTACAATTTTTAAAATTTTATTTATAACAATATCTGTTATTTAGTTTGTAAAGTACTCCAGCAAAAATTAAACATTATTCTCTTTTCAGAAGAAAGTCTGCGCC